TTATTTAATTAATTTAATATTTTAATATATTTATTTAATATACTATTTTATTTTAAATCAATAATATAAATTTTAAATCAATGATATAAAATAATGTTTAAAATTTAAATAAAAAAAAAAAACAATACTTGCAAAAATAAATTAATTTTATTAAAATATTAATTTAATAATTATTATAAATAAAAATTAATATTTAATATTTTATTATATTTATTTAATATATGATTTTATTTTTTAAATCAATGATATAAAATAATTTTTAAAATTTAAATTTAAAAAAAAGCAATACTTGCAAAAATAAATTAATTTAATTAAAATATTAATTTAATAATTATTATAAATAAAAATTAATATTTAATATTTTATTATATTTATTTTTATTAATTTATTATTTAATTTTATATTTATTATTTAATATTTTATTATTTTTTTTTTTGTTAAATCAATAATATAAATTGTAAATCAATGATATAAAATAATTCTTTAGATTTAAATAAAAAGAAGAAAAAAAAACAATGGTAGCAAAAATAAATTAATTAAATTTAAATATTAATATAATAATTATTAAATAAAAAATTAATTTAATATTTTAATATATTTATTTAATATAATATTTCATTTTAAATAGATAATATATAAAATAATGTTTATATTTAAATAAAAAAAAAAAAAAATAGGATTAACGATGCGTACGTATCAAAAGAAAACAAAAGAAAATGAAATTTGTGTATGATATTGCTTGAATTTTATTACAAACACAACTGTCATAAGAATTACAAATAATAAAAAAAAAAAAAAAAAGACAAAATTATGGTTGCAAGAATAATTCTATTCGGTTAGTATAAATAATGAATATAATTATACAGTTGATTAAATTCTTTTTTTTTTTTTTGCATTTTCGTATTGCGGCAAGTAATAGATTAATGACGACTTTTTTTTTTGTAGAACAAAATAAGTCCCATACCTAATTCTTTATATTCTTGATATACAAATGTATTCTTCCGTATCATCGGTTGAATCATTCATGCATCAACGACCATGAAAACTAGACTCTTGGTTCATCGATCCAAATCGAATAGTATCGATTTGAGGAAAAAGTTCGTGAACCTTGAAATGTAGCGTGAAAATTTAATGACTCTAAGAAAAGAAGATTAGAAATGAATATATTGATTCTATTAAAAATAGAAAACCCCTGAGCAAGATCTTTTCCTTTACAGTAATGAAAGAAATATGAAACATATTTTCATCGAAATACACTTTTCAGTTCTTTTTCCTTCTATTCTATCTTTTTTTTTTTTTGCTTTTATCTGAAGATTACTTAACCTTAATACGTTGACTGCCATGTCAGCCATACATGGCCGACGGCAAATATTCTGAACAGGCCCAATCGGACGTATTTGGCTGGCGCTTGTTTTTAATGCTCTTACAAGGTATATTAGTTAATATTTCGAATGATATTTCACAAAATATGAGACTACCGAATTGTTATAAAAGTTTTCTACAAAAAAAATATGAATTGTTATTAAAAATGATTTACAATGAAATTCTTTGAAACAGTCTAAACAAAGTTGAGGTTGTTCTGAGCAATCTGAGCAAAACGTTGTTGTCATTTTTATATTTATTCGTGCTTTTGATCGATCCTATGAAGTCTTATATTCGAATAACATCATTTGCAAGCCCTTCTAATTTTTTGTCCAAAAGCATTTTTTTTTTTTAGATGCCAATATTATGACTACAATGATCTGAAAATTGATTTATATTATCTGTCAGAGTTCTAATCATTTCAGAGCTAATATTTCTCTACAATTTCTGATATTTATGTTTTTTTTCTTTTGTTGCAATCTTGTAAATGATTGAAAGCATTTACAACTGCAATGCTCAGAAGAAGCTGGAAAATATTTGATTAAGAAAAAATATTCTCATTTTCGAATCACACACGTTTTCTTAGATAACTTCGTTCTTGAAATAAGATTGTCAACTAAATGCATGTAGTCAAACATTTTGTTCTAAACGTATTTATCTTTTGTTATAAGAAGATAAGAAACAAATACAGTCTCAATAATCATCCAAAAAAGATTATCCTCTTTATAGGATAAGAATTTCTTTCTAAATGTAATGTCTTACTACAATAAGTAACTACTGACACAGTATAGCAGCTCGTGTGGGTTTGACCGAGATTTTCTTGAAAACTAGCATGGCGGTCAACGATTAAGGGACACAACTAGTGTGAAATTTTGAAAAAAATCGAATTTTTTTTTACATATTTCGATACTCTGTACCAGTGATTCCAAAACTTTCTTGTCCTACTGCCCCATTTCAAAAAAAAATTATTACTTAGCGCTCCCTGGAAGTTAATTTTTAATAGCAATTAATAGGAAATATATATGTATTAATATTTTTGCAGCACTCACCAGGGGGCGGTGACCCCCACTTTGGGAATGACTGGTTTATACCTTTAAAAATAACATACTCAAATTTCAAGTGCATATTTCAAATAGTTTTTGAGTTACAGTCATCTAATATTTTTTCATTTATAACGATCAAATCAGCAACTTAAACTTTAAAACGTGTTTTTCTCGAAACTATTAGTTTGACCGGAAAGTAATGTCGCTTTTTAACCTCAAAATTCGAACGAATAAATTTTTCCAACAAGTTTTTATTATTAATCAATAATTCAATTATTTATATTAAATTAATTAATCACGTTATCAACAACCTTTTTCTATCTGATATGCAAATTTTTAATATCGTAACGATAAAAATCATCAATCGGTTTTTTGATTGAAATATTAATATGAAAATTTGACGTGCGTAGTAACGACATTACTTTTCGGTCCTCCTAATACATTTTCCAAATTTGCTGCAGTTAAAACTCGAAGACAAATCATCCGATCGATTTGATTCTTGTTGCAGTTTCTTTTATATACATTTCTGCAAACCATGAACCGTCCAGTTTTTCGATCGAATGAAAAATGTAATTTTGGCAGGGCCCAAAAATCATCAAATTTTCGCGCGAAATTTGAAACCTTTTTTTATAAAACTCCACCATTTTGTTAAATTTCAATTGTTCTTTAGGACCGAGGTTCATGGTGCGGAAAATTCCTTCTAGTTTAATAAACTTTGTGGTTTTTTGGATTTCATGAACTGTGAAGGTCGCCATAACTACAGCAATGGGGGGACTTGGAAGATTGCAAATAAGTCGCTTAATTTTCAATTTTGTAATCTAAAAATTTGGTCATATATTCATTAAATATTCATGAATATCTTCTTAAAAAATTAAAACATTCCATGCAATAGTTCTTTTTGAAAAAAATTCTGAAAAATCACCTTTTTTTCAAGTGGTCACACCAGTGGTGCCCTTGATATTGAAATATTTTTCTATCCAACATTGTCTTCATTATCCTTTTAGCTAGCCAAGATCTATGAAATTGTCAAATGATAATAATCAATTCGTTTATTTTCTTTCTTCTTTTTCTTGTCTTTTTCTTTTTACACAAATAAATAACACATTTTCTTTTGCACGCTTTTCACGATTTCGATACTACCTCTTCAGTCTGTTTGCAGATCGATAATGATTCTTCTTCTATCGGTTTTTCTTTGCAATCCTTATTTGGTTTTTCTTTTAACAAACAATCGTTATGATTAGATCAAGGAATCAACGAGATTAGATAATGTTTTTTTTTTATTCCTTGATAAGACAAAGAGTGTCTTTGATAACAGAGAAAGTATATTTTGTTTTTTGTCCTATTTCATGATTACCAACTGAAGAAATAACTATAGTCTTCCTTTATTTCATTTTACATATCATAATCACATATATATATATATATATATATATATATATATATATATATATATATTTGTATGTACATTATAAAAATCAATGATTATTTATTAAATTATTTATTATATTATTTATTTTATTATTAATTTAATTATATTATTTAATTATATTAAAATTATATTATTTATTTATATTTACTATTATTATTATATTAATTACTTATTAAATCAATGATTATTTTATTTTAAGATTTTTATTAAAATAAATTAATTAAAGAAAAAATATTAAAATATCATTTATTTTAATAAATTATTTAATTAAGTATTATTTATTTTAATACATTAATAATTATATGATATATATATATATATATATATATATATATATATATATATACATTCTTGAATTAACTCTATCGTGTTTTCCTGTATTCCCTAATTTAAATTCTACTCGCTTAAATAGTTTCATTAAAAAAAAAAAAAGTTAACCCATTACCCGCCACAATACGAAAATGCAAATAAAAAAATTAAATTAACTGTATAATGATATTACCAATAGCCAATAGAACTATTTTTGCAACAATTGTTTCTTTTTTTTTTTTTTATTTAAATATAAACATTCTTTTATATCAATGTGATTTAAAATTTATATTATTGATTTTATATATAAATAAAATAATATATATATTAATTAAATATAATAAAATATTAAATATTAATTTTTATTTTGTAATAATTATTAAATTAATATTTAAATTAAATTAATTTATTTTTCCGTCCATTGTTTTTTTTTTTAATTTAAATTTTAAAAATTATTTTATATCATTGATTTGAAATTTTATATATTATTGATTTTAAATAAAATAATATATTTAAAATATTAAATTAATTAAATAAAAAATATTAAAATAATACAATAATTAAAATATTCAAATAAAATAATCATTGATTCAAATAAAAATTATTTTATTCATTTAAAGTAAAATAATTAAAATTGTTAATATTTTCATGAAACACAAGGTACAATCCCATAATTTTAACAAATATATTTCATTTTAAAGTTACAGTAATTAAAAAATAAAAACAATTTAGAAATGCGTCTCAAATAAGCACCATTGGCTGGTAATGGGTTGAAAAATTAAAAAAAAATAAACGAACGTATTGTTTTTAATAGAAAAGATTAAAATAGAAAATTTTCGTTTTGTGGATTCGATTAGATTCATCGAGGAATACACACGAGCGATAAATTAACACGACTAAGATAAGTGGAACGATCGAGACTCGAGCGGAGGAGTAGTGAGTAAGCCCAAGGTCACGGATAAACGTTGGGAGAGGTGTTTAGTAAAGTGTTGTTGCTTCGAGTGGGAAAGAGCTCGTTTTTTCTTCGCTTCTTTGATGGACGTTAGTAAGCTTCTTCTTTATTACGAACACCAGAGAGTGTCATGTTATTAAAATAGACGACGTAGTCGAGTGAATCTTGAAAGGACAGTTTATTCGGCTCGACTTGGTCCAGAAACGATGATCATCGTTGCAAAAGCGTCCAACTTGACAACAACCTGCATAATTTACGAAAGAAATTCAAACGGTTAAAAAAGAAAACATTCAAGGAGAAGAAAAAAAAAATAAACAAGAAAGTGAAAAAGGAATAAAAAAGGAAGCAAAGAAAGAAAAAGAAAAAACAGAAAAATGTCGGAAAGTGAGACGAAACCAGCATCACCTGTACCAAACATTTACACGCAAGGTTGCAACAGCCTGATCACCGTACATTGTCCTACACTTCAAGTGACATCGCGAATGTTACGTTCGCCAAGCCACGAAAGTGTTACCACAGATATCTCCCTTTTCAGTGTATCTTCGATAGCAAGCGAATTAAAAGGTGCTAACAGGTTGGTTACCTTCAAATCGTACAGCGATGTGCAGTTAGCTGGACGGGGACCCTCGCCGAAACCCGATCGTCAGATTCAGGATAACAGGTGGGTGAACATCAATTGACCCTAGTACGCCCCAAAATAAAAACAATGGGCTAATGGGCTTGTTTTTGATAATATGTTTGTATGTAACCTGTCCAGACCAGCGGATATTCCAGAAATCCTCTGGTTCGAGGAAGAGAATGATCTGATACGCAGTTGCGGTGTTCTTTCCTCGGCACTGGGTCTTCGTAAAAGTTTCAGTACAAGTGACGTCTCCCAATTACCAAGTCCAGACGCTTTTGTACCAGCGGCTGGACTACGTTCAGCAGTCTCAGCTTTAGCACTCGATACTCAAAGAAACAATTTACTTTTGGAACACGCGAGGCTCGATCATGCTTCGAGATCATGCAGTACGTGGGTAGCTGTTGGTGAACCTGTCGCAAGTACATCTCAACTTCCGAGTCCTCACGGTGGTACTGCAGCGCAAGAACAACAAGCACAACAATCGTCGAGTTCTCATTCATCCGCACCACAACCACCACCGGCTCCACCACCTCCACCAATACCTTTTACAGGTGCTGATCTTATAAGGTCCGTCAATAAGAAGGTTCGACAAAATTATATACGCCGAAGGTAAATGAATATTTTTATGAATTTATTAACACGTTGAATGCTACGGGGGTCACCGGCCGGCATTCAACTTGGTAGTGAAGCAATGGGGGGCCACCGGTGACCGCTGATCCCAGATCAATAGAAATATATTCCACATCATGGTGACACGGACAATCCTTGTAAAATTGATATGTCATTCAACGTGTTAAAGTTTACTATTTTTGTAATTTGTATAAATGTGTGTACTTGTGTTTACTGTTCCCAACAGATTGTTGACAACCTACCGAGCTCTCGAACGACTATCCCAAAGTGAATTCAACTTGGATCAATTGGAGGCAGCGGCAAGTGCAGCACAAAGTACACCAGGTACGACATTGCTCGTACCTGGTAGTAATTCAGCACTACCTGGTACATCAATAATCGGTCGAAAGGAACAGAATCATGCGTTGACTGTCAGAGATGTAGAAAGGGAACGTGGTAATCAATTATCCAAATACGAGAGGAACATGATGATCTTCAATTGGCTTCACAACATCGATGATACAGCTATTGTCGATAGTGTCGAATAATCCTAATCGATCGATCGATGATAATCGGCTTATCAAGCACCCATGGCGCTTACCGACCACGGACTAATCGGCATCGACGTATTATTTCTATTCGTATTATTGTTCTCTTCAAATTCTTTCTTTTTTTTTGGGGTATTTTGATCTTTTTTCTTAATCTGAATTTAAAATACACGATATACAGGGTGATTCATTAGTTCTTAACCCACCTAAATAGCTCTGAAAGTGTGATAGTAGTAAAAATAGATAAAGGATAGAAGTTGCATGAAAAATTCAGGACTACAATATGAAATTAGTATTTTTTTGCTAGGTTAGGTCATTTTCAAGATTTATAGGTCAACCTTGTTTTTTTAAATACAATGTTATATTTTAACCCTTTGCACTCGAGGCTTTTTTCACTTGCACTGACCAACAACTCGACAAAGATTTTGGCCAAATTATGGAAACATTTGACATGTACTTTAAAATCATTTATAAACAAACAAACATATACAGATAATCAAATTTCACCAATTTATTTATTTTTATATCAACAACAAGAAAATTTGAGAAATATTATAGTCTGCAATTAGTTTTTGTACGATATTTCGTAAAACAATATTCAAGATGCATCTTAGGTTTATCAGGACACGTATCACAATAATACGTTACTTCCGGTCTACTTCCAGGTGTATTACGATCAGAACAAACCTTACAGTCCCTTTAAGTATTATCTTTAAGTATATCTTAAAAGAAATATTTTATCACAAATTGTAATAAGCAAATAGAGTAAACAAAAGGCTTCAAATCAGCAGGGCGCCGTATCAGCGCCGCTCGAGTTGTCACTTAAATCGGCCGGACGCCGTATCAGCACCGCTCGAGTTGCCACTTAAAGGTCAACGATGGTCAAAACTGGCGAACAGGCCGACCACAATACAGTTCTCTACGTCATAGTCACGTCGTGGTCGCGTCATGGTTGCGTCAGCCTTTTTTCCGACAATGGAAGGAACAGAGATTTTCCGAATAGTTTTTATTGGTCATTGTCAGGTTGTATTTAATGTTACACATCATTTGATTCGTCTTGCCAGTTGCTATTCAAAAATAAGTATTAACCATTTGCACTCGAGCGGTGCCGAATTAGCGCCAAGCAGATTTAAGTGGCAAGTCGAGAGGCGCTGATACAGCGCCCGACAGATTTAAAAAGATTAATGTTGCACATCATTGGATTTGTCTTGACAGCCACTATCAGAAAATGAGTATTAAAATATAACATGATATTTAAATAAACAATGTTGACCAATAAATCTCGAAAATAACTTAACCTAGCAAAAAAAATACTAAGGTCATATTGTAGTCCCGAATTTTTCATGCAACTTTTTCTTTATCCACTTTTCTGGATTCCACTATCATACTTTTGATGCTATTTAAGTGGTAAGAGCTGGTGAATCATCCTGTATATTATAAACATACATAAATAACAATCTGTATTTCACAGAGATAGGCGCGCAAGGTTGAGAGACATCCGTCCCTTCTCGTCCAAAAAAATATATCGCATAATAAAATAGATAAAAAAACAACTGAAATAAAATAAAGCTAACAATAAGAGGACAAATGTTGAATAAGCATTTAATCCGAACAACAATTTGCTTGATCGGATGAACGATGTAGAAAAATAACGGATTCGCTAATTTCACTAACCTAAGTGCACGCACCTAGAACCACATAGTAATTATATTAACACTAGATTTACGGAAACCGTAAAAATGACGGGTTTTCGATTGAATGTTTATAAATTCTGAACGTGTAAACATTATTCTTTAAATATTACATATTTGTTTTGAATTATATAATACAACGAATATACATTTCTAGTCATTTTCTCTGGAACACCTTTATTTTATTATTTACAGATGTGGTATATCTCTTTTTACAAAAATCTGTCCATTTGATGGATTAAGTTATACAGATATACAACATCTGGAAATAATCAAAATGAAATAACAATGAATAAGAAAAAACAACACTAAACAAATGACGACTATTTTACAGTAAATACATGAGCAAACAAGTTTGAACTTGTTGTTTACAGTTAGATCAAATCTTCTCATATCACAAATACTTACAGTTCACTGCTGAGTACTTTGCCTGTAAAATAAATGATTTTTGAAGATGAAGCATCTCTTATATTATTTTATAAAAACAAGTAGATCAAAGTGAAAGATTATAAGATTGAGTTTACATGTAAAAAAAATGTATTGAAGACAACAGTCAATGAAAATCTATAAGCTTTTTAATAAATAATTTCAAGCAAAAAATTGCATTTTAACATATCCGTCAAAAAGACGGATTTCAATAAAAAAAAAAAAAAAAAGGTATATACAGGTAATGCCCGTAAATCTAGTGTTAATGAGACTAAAATGCGACATCACGATTTATCATAGTTTTTGTTTTCTTTGTTTCTTTTTCAACGATACTTAACGTCGACAGTTTATATGAATATATGTGTGTACATACGTGTGGTATGTATTTACCATATTTCTTATTCGATTTCTTTTTAAATATTTTTTTATTTATCGTTGTTAAAACACACTATCGGCGGGTCGGATATTTCTACTCATTCCACAGACTGGTGCTGGTCGGCGGGTCGCGTATTAATACGTTTTATGCAGAACGTAAGCTGAGTTTCAGTAAAACACTTATTAATGCTTGTTTTTTTTTTTTTTCATTGTCACTAATTTTTCAGCAGGAATGATGTTTTTGGTTGTGTTTTTTTTTTTTTTTTTAACACACTATCGGCGGGTCGGGTATTTCTACCCGTTCCACAGACTGGCGCTGGTCGGCGGGTTGCGTATTAATACGTTTTATACAGAACNTTTTTTTTTTTTTTTTTTTTGTAAACCCTGACCAATGTTTAGTAGTAAATTTATTAATTTAAAAAAAAAACAAACTAATAATTTGATGAAATGTGCTATTTTGACACTGCAAGTTTCGTGCTTACAAAGTAGCATAAATACAGTTGATTGATTTTAAGTTTTCTACATCTTTGAAATACTATTTGATACCTTTTTTTTCAAATTTCATTAAAATCCTACTATTAAATGTGAAGATATGACATGTTTTCTAAAAAGTGCACTGCTTTCATATTTCGCTCATTTTCATCCGCTACAAGCGTGAATCAAATTCACGATGTTCCCACCGATAGTGTTTTAAGATAAAATTAAAAAAAGAAAAGAAAACATACTGCAACATTGATTATTGTCGTTGCATCGAAGGATATGCATAAAGTAGTCGTCGAGTATAATCAAACTCTTACCATTTTTTTGTTATTGTTTTCCATTGTTACATTGTAAATTGAAATATGTAATTAATAAGCTTTTATTAATTCTCTCTTTCTTAGAAGCGTAGATTTCGATTAATCGCGTCTCGCCAGGTGTTCAGGATAAGTATTAATTAAGTTACAACAAAATCGTAACGTTAAAACTAAAGGAAAGATCCCACACAAGGAGCTTTTTATTTTTCATTAATTTAATTGGATATATTCAAGAATAATTTTTTTATTTTACCAATTTTCAAATTTTATACATTTTCAGAGAGAAAAAAAAAATGTTATCATTTGGTTTGTTACAGCATGAATATTTTTCTATTTGTTATATAAAAAATCATCACATTTTTACAGTAAAACACAAAAAGCTCTGTATAAGATCTGCCTTTAGTTTCATAATACGTGTTCCTATCAAAGCCTTAACAACACAACCGTCAAACATAAATAGAAAAAAAAAAAAAAAGAAAAAGAAAAAGAAAGGACAAAAATAAATTCTCCAATAAAACTGTAATCTTTGAAATTTACTTTTATACAAATTTCTCTGACCGTTAAAAACTGACCGATTAATAGACTTCGCTTATATGCAAATAATTATCAGTATTATGTGCCATACACACACAATAAACATTCACGTATACACAGAGTGAGGGAGAGAGAGAGAGAAAGAGAAAGAGAGAGAGAGAGAGACATACACACATCATACTAATGAGAAGAGAGATATATATATATATATAATATGTATATGTGCGTATATCTATATACACTTCTGGGGTTGTTAATAATGATGGATGTGTGATTGAATAACGTACGCTTTTCTTCTTATATATATTTAACGTTTCTTCCAAATGTTACATTTGTGAGTCTCGCAGTACATCCTTTGTCCGGATGGTATGATGGAATCCTAATAAAATCGCAGAATCTATTATACATATAGAAAAAATGTTATTTAACCTATATTAGAAAGATATTATAATCAAGTGCTGATATAATTGGCCCTATCGATTGAATTGGATTAGTCTCAACATAAATAATTAGAGTTATAATAAGACACGTAAATGTGATGATACCTTGACTTCCAATAGCAATCGATGAAGAAATTCAGCAATAATATTTGTTTATTCTGATTCAGAACCAGAACTTGCATCTGATTCGTATTCACCAACGTTAATTGTAAATTTGTACTCTTGATCACACCCAAGATAAGCATCGCTCATAAAATATAAAGTATATGAATGCTGTCCTGGTGTCGGGGCAACAAAATCTAACCTTACTTTAGCCTTTTGTTGTAAAGTTAATCTCTTGATAGATAGTAAAGAATTCGTTTTAGGATCCCCAATAACAACCCACCAACCTTCTTCACGTTTTTGTGGGAAGAATGGTGCTACTACTGGACCAGTTACTTCATCTTCTCTTTCAAGCTGTACAATAACATTTACAGTACCACCACTGTGCAATTTATCTTTGTCCTGAACCTCGTAAGACATTTCAATGTTGGGATAACGATTACAAAATTTAGCAACGTCCGCCATTTGCGCATCTGTCAATTGTAAAAGTCTATTTCTATCATCAAATTCAAGTTCTATAACGTCAAAGACTGTCTCAACCTTCTTTTCTGTGCATCGTTTGATCGTTTCTGAGGTAAAGTGTGGCAATTGTTTGAGATATGAATCTTTTGACCACATAGCTTGCGTTACCATCTGTGCCAATTCCATAGCAGCAACGGCAGGTGTCAACCAACCTGAAGAACTAAGAACATCGACACAGGCTTGTATCAATCTGACTGCTTTGCTTAAAACTAATTCTGTGTCTTTTTGTAATTCCGGCCCTAATTGTATTCTAGAGAGATGAGCTTGTAAAAGTAATTGAGCTTTTACATGAGGATCAGCCATTCTAGTTGCTTGAGGCGCATGAGGAAGTCGTGCAGCTAAACTTCTCAATAAATTCTCTTCACGTTGTCTTACTGGAACAGTTTCGTATTCCGCAGCTGCCGATATAATCTCCAATAGACCACGAATCTTCGTTTTGTTGTTCAAAGATAAACTGAACAATTCAATGGTGGCATAATTGATGTAATAATAAGCAGCGATCATTCCAAGATTCAATGGTAAGGTGTCCATTTCATCCTCGACTGCTACACATTTGGCTTGTTCAAGATCATTCAATGTTGTTTCAACCAATTCGGATAGATGATCTGACAAGTGTCTATGCGTGATTCCTTGCAATCCATAATAATTTGGATTTTGAGTGAGTCTTCTGTACAGGAATGTCCATGTAAGATAATCAACTGCATCCTGCTTGTTTTCTATCGTTTTTGTAACAATTTCAGCGTTAAAATGATCGTGTAATCTGTGATCCAAATGACTCTCTACTGGTAGTGGCTCGTTTAAGAACTTTTTAAAGAAATCCTTTTTAGAACTTTGACAAAGAAGTACGCACTTAGCATCGTCGTCTTCTAATGGTCGATTAGCTCGTGCTACCATTTGTAAAACATCTGTTATTGGGTAATCCTCGTACGCATGAGTTTTACCATTGTAACATTGAGTGTCCATTACTACTACCAGATGTGAACTGATGGATAAACTCCAACACAAGTCTCTGGTTGCCACTGCTACTTGAATGGCATCACTGTCAAACAATTGTTCAACTAAACGCCGATCATCTGCAGAAAGTCCTTCATGCAAATAAGCTATACCTTGAGACAAGGTCTCTTTCAATGTTTTATCTGTCATTCTATCTAAGAAAGGTTTGATGTCAGCTTCTTCAGCATGGAAAAATCTTGATGGTGCACCTTCTGCTGCTGTAAATGTTAATAAATCGATAGCTGTTAATCTGGCTTGTCGACGAGTCGGCACAAAGACAATAACAGGTTTGTGAGAAGCATGCCTAAGTATCGCATTATACACTGGTTTAGCCATAGCAGCCAGTCTGGATGCATTATGAGTAATGTTAATGCCTTGAACGTGTAATTCCAATGGTACTGGTCTAACAGAAGGATGAAAGTTAAAAGTTGCAGCAGCTGGTGCACCCAACCATTGTGCTGCATCCTTAGCATCGGCCAATGACGCTGACAAAGCTACTATCCTAGTTGGTTTATCCAACTGAGAAGAAATATATCTCGCTCTGGAGCAAGCCACTTCTAATACGGGACCTTCTTCACCACCAATTAATTGCAATTCATCCACAATGAATAATTGGATATTCTGTACATTCTTACGTTGCTTCCATCTTCGAGATAGCACATCCCATTTGTCAGCAGTCGTTATGACTATTTGTCCTTTAGCAAGTAATTTAAGATCTGTTCCAGTTTCTCCAGTTAATAAAACTACTTTCCTACCCAATTGTTGACCAAACTTTACCAGCCAATCGGCATAAACTAGCTCAGCCAATGCTTCCTTGCTGACCATGTAGACGCATCTACCTTCTGGATTTTGCGTCAACAAACGAAGTACTGCAAACTCAGCAATAGTAGTCTTTCCAGATCCAGTTGGTGCCCCAACAAAGACGTTATCATCAGAATTGTATACCGCGTTGAATACTTGTGTTTGGATTGGATTAAATTGAGGAAATTTATTAGCATATAAATTTTCAAATTTAGCGTTCCTCAAAGCGGTTATTGGTAAAGGTTGAAGATCTAATAATTCTGTTGGTGGTAGATTCTTTTCTGGTAATATAAGATGTCTAAAACTGACGGGTAACTGAGTCTCAACTCCAATCCATCTGTCCGATACAACACGTAAGAAATATTGCGGTGGTAATGGTTCAAAAACTGGTACAAAGAATTTGATCAAATGCTCGTCTGTCGCGTATTTCGCTTTTAAAAGGAAATACTCGTGATGAAGTATGACCTCGGAATCTACGTCTTCCACTAGAATCCAAAATGCTTCAGAAGCACCGTGCACTTTCTCGTCCCATTGAAAATCAGGCGTAATTGTTAATTCGACACGCAACGTGGAACGCGTGATCGGTTGGATATGCGTCGATAATTCCAATTTTGGAAACTGATGGACATATTTATAAATAGTTTTTCCTAATTTAGGTGATCGTATCATTTCACCGATTTCGTTAGGTCCAAGATCGTACAATCTTTCCCATGGCATGTTTTTCTTCTCTATTTTTTTCACTATTTCCTCCGGCATCTTTCGGAATTGTCTTAAAAGCGACATGGATTGCCACATTCTACGGTCTATCATTTTACACAAGGATAAACATTTATCTGCTAATTGAGCCCATCCGCGGAACAAGACAATTTCAAATATAGCTCTCATTAATCGTGTTGCCGATTGCGTAACTAACATCATATCGGACATCAGAGCAAATCCTTCCAATTTTAATTGTGAGATGTATGCTTGTAACAATACATTCACTTTAGCACTAGGTTCTTCTATACTCTCTTTAACTGGTATAGGTACTCGTTCCATCAACTTTTGTAATTCTAATTTCTCTTCCTCTCTGACATTAATATTTTTGAATTCGCTGGACAAGGAGAATACTCGGAACAATTCGATCTCACTTAATGTTCGTTTGAGAAGTTGATTGTACGTCGACATTGTTTCATGAGTGCAATAATAATGTGAAGCTATTCTACCTAACTCGGTTGCTTGGAAATTTCCAGATTTACGATCGTACTTTATTAAACCACTTCTGTCTAATGCAACTGCAGCAGAATGAATCAAGTCTGCTCTATGTAATTCTAACAAAGGATCTTCTCTTAATTTGTCATGACCTATTCCATAAAGATTAGGACAACGTGGCATTCTGACATATAAATATGTATAACCAAGCCAAGTGACGGCATCTCTAATGTTTTGAATGGTACCTAAAACTATTTCTGCATTTAACATATCTGGTAGCTTGCTAATCAATTGCGACTCTATTGGTAATTGCTGGTTCAGAAGAGATAAATAATATTGAAGTTCGCTATGGTTGGTAATTAAAATTCCTTCACCTTTAGTGTCATATTGTGGACGACCAGCTCGACCTAACATTTGCAAAACATCTAAGGCACCTAATTCAACCCACCTGCCTTTTTCTGGATTATATACTTGTGTACCTTTGATTATAACTGTATGAGCTGGTAAGTTAACACCCCAAGCTAAAGTAGCAGTCGAAACAAGGACTTGTATGTGCCTATCAGCAAAAAGATCTTCAACTAAAGTACGATCTACCCTTGTCATACCAGCATGATGGATAGCAAATCCATAAGGCAATAAATCTTTAAGCTCTTGATTCTTTACTTGTTCCGCTTCACTTCTCAATACTTCCATAGATGCAGAACCTTCTCGAAGAAATTGACCTAGGGTATCTTTTTCTAAACACATGTCCCTGATTGCACGTGCAGTTTTCCCAGTCTCTTTACGAGAATGCACGAAAATTAATACTTGATTCCTACCAGCATGTTCCATTGTTTTTTCATAAACTATTTCATTCATAACTTGAAATCGTTTCAATGCTTTTTTTTCTGTCACACCAATATATTGTTGTTCTAGTGCAACAGGCCTAAAACTGTTGTCAAAATAGAAAAGACCAGTTTCCATTTTAATACGTAAAAATGTGGCAACATCTTGATAGTTGGGTAATGTAGCTGATAAACCTACAAGTCTAACATCTTCTTGAGTGGTTTCAATATTCCTGATCGTTCTTGCAACCAAGGCTTCTAAAACTGGACCTCTTTCGTCGTGCAACAAATGAATTTCATCAATTATAATTAATCTTACTAATGAAGTGAATGTCTTTTCACCACCTTTACGTGTTATGATGTCCCACTTTTCTGGTGTACAAACAATTACTTGGGTCGCAGCTATTTGTTCTCTAGTCAGTTGATGATCTCCGGTCAATTCCGAAACAGTTAAATTGTAAGTTGACAATCTTTTTCCAAAATTACCAACCATTTCTTGTACGAGAGAACGCATTGGTGCAACATAAATTATTTTAAATTCGTCCGCATTTATCGTGCCGTCTGCATTAATGTGTTTGCCAATTTCACGCATCATACAAAGTAGAGCAACGTTTGTCTTACCAGCACCAGTAGGTGCACATAATAATAAATTTTCGTCACTTTCCAATGCACTTTGATATAAACGACTTTGAATTCTGTTCAATGTCTTAAAACCCTCAAAAGCAGGTTGAACGTATTTTGGTAAATCTTCGATCGGCAAAAGTTTCTCATTATCGCCAAATGGTTTGGGTTTTAAAGCAGGTACATGAACTTCTTCATATCTGAAAATATATAAAGACAAAGATATAAATTATAATATATAAAGAGAAAGAGTCATTGAACCTTAATTAATTATTAATTATTTCATGTAAATAGGAATTGATTGATTGATAATCTATCTATCACTTTAGCCATACCCTTTTCTTTGTTTCCTAAAACTTCCATCAGGCAGTTGACAACGCTTGTTTGCCATAAAATGACTTCCTTGTGCAAATATTAAATCTTCCAAGTCTATTAAATTTCTGGTTCCTTGAACTTGACCTCCAGGACCTCCAGTGTCTTCATTTTCTTCTCTTCTTTTACGCTGTGCTCTGGCTTCCATTGTTTCATCCGCATCGTCATCACCTTTTCCTGTATCTAATTGTTTTAAGATTTTTGCAAGTACTGGCTCGTCATTCATCTTATTACGTATTTTTTGCCTTTCTGATTCAGATTGTGAAGCTGCTAACATCGTGCAGTAGGCAACTAAATTGAAAAAAAAAAACAAAAACAATTAGAAAAATGGTCTTATTAACAAAATTATATATATTATGTCGAGTCATAAATAACTTCCTATGCGGCTATGTAGAATCTATTTTTCGTATTTACCTACTATAAGTCACCAAAACAAACGGATTTTCGATATCAGTTTATAGATGAGGATTCAGTTAATATTCTGTCAACTTTTTGATGTAATCAATGTTACATTTAACCGTTTTTCTTAACCTCTCAAATGGATAGTAAAAAGTGCATATTGGACATGTAATGCTTTAGGAATTTAAACATGGCAATGGCATTAAGGTGGCAACTGAAAAAATATGCAGCGTATACGGTGCAAGACTGATAAATGATATGGCAGTCAGAAATTGGTTTGTAAAATTATGTTGTAAAGATACGAGCTTAAAAGACGAACTGAGTGCAAGGACGTCTTTCCAACTGTGACGAACCTTTTAAAGGTAATTTTGGAGCAAAATCTAATAGGTGCGTCCAACAAATACAAAGAATGCAAAAAAAACTCCATGAAAAGTGTTCTGCATTTATCAGTGGCAAAAATGCCATTCTTTGTCTCATAAATAAAAGAAGTTATTTATGACTCGACCTTATATAGATAAATATATAGTAGCATACTTGTGTGTCTATATTTCTTTAACTGTTTTATAAAGTCAAAACAGTCATAACCCAAAAGTAAAACTAGTTGATTTTCACAATCACGATCGTCGCTAGCATCCTTCAAAACTGTTAATACTTCTGCTGCTCTTGCTTGAGAAACCATAGCATCATCATATATTCTACTTAATCTTCTTTGTAACCAATATGCATCTATATCAAGAGGATGTAATGGTTTTTCCTTTTTCATCTCTTCTGCTCCACCTAACTAAAAAAAGAAATATATATTAATTGAAATTTCTAATTAAATATAATATATATATATATATATTAAAATATTTAATTATAATATCATTTAGTGGATATAATCAAATGAAGAGGAAGTAAATTAACCCTTTGTACTATTTTCACAAATCCGACTCGTGATGAAAATTTTAGGTTAGATATGAATATCACGAGTCATACTCGTGCTCTTAATAATAATAATAATAATAATAATAATAATAATAATAATAATAATAATAATAATATTTTTCTTCTTACATTCTCAGCATGAATGGCTCTATCGTCATTAGCTTCTTCTCCTTCATCACCTTCATCATCATTCTCCCTAACCTCTCCATAAACATCTTCATCGTCTTCTTCACTGCTCTCTTCGAATTGTACATTAATCCCATATGTTTCATCAATGTTTTCTTCATTTGTGGTACTTTTTTCATCATTACCAAAATCTGTTATCTTTTTACCAAGATTAACCAATAATGCAAATCTTTCTTCAGCCAATGAACCAAGTAACAATTCTGTTTCCTTCTTCTTTTCTCTTTCTTTCAATCTGTCATTTTTCAATACTGCCAAAACCTCATCCGCAGCACCACATAAAATATCGCGTGGTTGATCGCCCAAAGCTTCTTGAATAAAACTGAGCAATACTTCATAAGTTTGACGTGTTTCTTGAGTTTTAGGTCGATAAACGATACCAACCATTTCATCTACTCCTTCTGAAAGTAAAGTGGCACCTCTCATGCGTGCAAAATCATACTGTGCTTCATCTCGCTTCTGACGTCTGCAAAATATCAAATTATATATATATATATATTATTATATGGATATAACTATAATTAATAATTTAAATGAAACATAAAATATTTTCATACTTTGCTTTCCTTTCTTCAGCTTTTCCCGGTCTTGTTCGTTGTGCTCTGTCACCCATGCGTGTGCCATCCAGCTTCCCAACAAGGGACATAACTTCACCGGTAGCTTCATCTCTGCTACGTCTTTCTATTAGCCGAACGTCAGCTTGTAAAACTAAATTGGAATTCTAAAAGTAGACATAAGAGTTTTTTTATTAAATTATTAATTCTTATAATCATCCGCATAATTGAACAAATATAAAAACATTGTATATATGCTTATATGCAAACTATGGCATATACAAAATTATTATAAAATGAATATATTAATAAACCTCATGAAAAGCTTACAGTCGTAATAAATAATACACCAAATTCTATACAGTTTTACACGACAGATACGTTTCTAAAGAATATGTGTATACAAATTTATTACATCTGAAATTGTGAAGTGACTGTAGGTTAACCAAAAATGTTCTTCTTACAATTTGGATCAATTATGTTAAATCAAAATCATTCGTGTAAAAATAGAATTGGGTGTACTGTGCAATAGTTTATTTCATATTTAATGTTTTTATATTTGAGGAAAAAAAGGTTAAATGACTCACCGCTTTATATTCGTATTGCAATTGTCGTGCGGCGGCGTCCGCCATATTGTAATATAATAAATTCTACACAATAGAGAAATCTTTAGAAATTAATTCACTGATCTATCAAAAATATAAACTGCATTACCAAATGGTTATTTTCTAACACAATATAATTTATTATCTCACTCACAATATTTTCTTTCGTATAATTCTATATATTATAAGTTTGTTGTATATCACATGAACTATAGTACGATGCTTGAACTCTGTAAGAAAAGTTTTCATTTCTATCACTAGATGGAGCATACTTCGACGCAACCTATCGATGCTTACCGTTACGTATCGATACTAATCGATACCCATCGATCTTAATGTTGGTTTTCCTATCGTGAAAAGTGATTGGTTCGTTTTTATCGTAGCATTATCCATTTTAATTTGAAAAAGTTTGAAAATCTTGAAATGTTAATTAATTTTATATTAATATAGGATGATTTTAAGAAGGATAGAGTTTTTCTTTAGTATGACTAACAAACGAATTGTTTCTCTGTAATTAACAAAGATTTTATTATTTTATACAAAAAGTATAATAACTTAACCTAATTATTAATCCTACCTGTAATTAACAAAGAAATAACATTCAATGTTGTTATTCACACTGTTGTTTCTTGATCACTTTTACAATCTAGTCTTAGATTCCTAATTAATTTTACGTGTGCACTTTGTGGTTTACATCATCATTGATATGTGCTGTGTCGATTCATCCGATTGTCGTTGGTACAATAGGAAGTCTGACTTACCGACACCATTTACGCGCTAAACTCAAGTAAGCTAAAAGTACTTTCCTTACATTGGTAATATCATACCGTTTTAATACCATTTCATAAATGTCTTCAATAATTATCAACAAATAAATATTTCTACTATAATTATTTCTATTGTACTTACCTTGAAAAAATTAAATCATTTTTAATTTAATAATATAATAAATTACTATATATATGTATATTATATTATAAATATTATATATATATATATATATATATATATATATATATATATATAAGACAATTATATGAAGGATTTTATGGAATGATAATAATCAAATATGTTTTCCTATAAATAGAGGTTAGGTTTTATTAGCCATTTACAACCGTGAATTTTATTATATATAATTTACCTGTAAATAGAGAAACGACAATTAAAGACTATTATCAGTTTCTTTCTATTTACACTAATCCAAATAATCTTACAAATTAATTATTTAAATTTTCTTATTATAATTTTATTTATTTCTCTTTATTTATCTATCTCTCTAGCTATCTATCACTGATTGATCAATTGATTAATCGATTTCTATCGAACTCTCTATGCATTTTCCTAGGAAAGCGCGGCAAATTCAAACGAAAGAAAATACACTATATATATTTAATAAATAATTGCATGTTTCTTTGTTGTAAATTATATATTTTTTTTTTTAAATTATTTTAAACCTTCCACTAAACGTTAATTCCTAATATAAAGCGGCACCGTTACTGTTACCGCTTTAAAAAAAGGTGATTTTTCAGAATTTTTTTCAAAAAGAACTATTGCATGGAATGTTTTAATTTTTTGAGGAGATATTCATGAATATTTAATGAATATATGAACAAATTTTTAGATTACAAAATTGAAAATTAAGCGACTTATTCGCAATCTTCCAAGTCCCCCCATTGCTGCAGTTATGGCGACCTTCACAGTTCATGAAATCCAAAAAACCACAAAGTTTATTAAACTAGAAGGAATTTTCCGCACCATGAACCTCGGTCCTAAAGAACAATTGAAATTTAACAAAATGGTGAAGTTTTATAAAAAAAGGTTTCAAATTTCGCGCGAAAATTTGATGATTTTTGGGCCCTGCCAAAATTACATTTTTTATTCGATCGAAAAACTGGAGGTTTCATGGTATGCAGAAATGTATATAAAAGAAACTGCAACAAGAATCAAATCGATCGGATGATTTGTCTTCGAGTTTTAACTGCAGCAAATTTGGAAAATGTATTAGGAGGATCGAAAAGTAATGTCGTTACTACGCACGTCAAATTTTCATATTAATATTTCAATCAAAAAACCGATTGATGATTTTTATCGTTACGATATTAAAAATTTGCATATCAGATAGAAAAAGGTTATTGATAACGTGATTAATTAATTTAATATAAATAATTGAATTATTGATTAATAATAAAAAGTTGTTGGAAAAATTTATTCGTTCGAATTTTGAGGTTAAAAAGCGACATTACTTTCCGGTCCACCTAATAGTTTCGAGAAAAACACGTTTTAAAGTTTAAGTTGCTGATTTGATCGTTATAAATGAAGAAATATTAGATGACTGTAACTCAAAAACTATTTGAAATATGCATTTGAAATTTGAGTATGTTATTTTTAAAGGTATAGATCTGTGATTCCCAAAGTGGGGGCCACCGACCTCTGATGGGTGCTGCAGCGATTCATTGGGGCGGTGATTGCCGCAGGTGCATTTAGAGGGGGATGAATAACTTTAAGGGGGTGCTGATTGAATCAAAGAAAGAAGAGAATATTTAGACAAATTAATTTATGTATGTATTCCGCTCATAACATTTAATTATTCTTTGAACAACGTACTGGACATTGGCTCGGTTTCCGCATACTCCTTAATTTTACTATTAAAATTTAAAAAAAATATTTCCAGATGGCGCTAAGTAATATTTTTTCTGGAAATGGGACAGTAGTAGAAAACAGTTTGGAAACCACTGGTAGAGACTATCGAAATATACAATAGTGCCCTTTAAGTATAATAATAGTATTAAGTCTTTTACTTATTAGCATTCATTAATTTGAATAATCAACACCGATCAATAAAAATCTTCTTCATGTTTCATACTGAAGGAAGTAGAGATAATAAGTGCAATAAGTGCGAATGATCAAAACGAACAAACTGTTCGAGACTATAATTAATGAAGAAATGATCATTAAAACGAGTGAACGTTCTAATCAACATGACCTTTGAACTTTGCTTGATATCTCTTATTGTTAGAAAAGTAGTTCTCCTTCCCTTTTTTTCATTTTTCTTTTTTCTTATTTCTCCTTGTCTTTTTTTTTTGTTTTTTTTTTCTTACGATAAATCCTACTGATCATTCCGGCTATTCCGATAGTCGTGACGTCAATTACGTATTCATAAGCAACGATATCAACACCTGATCAATTTGTTTAAATTAAATTAAATGCAAAATTATGAATCATTTAATTACAACACTTTTATTCGCATACGGTATAGAAACAAAAAAAAAACGTTTATCTTTTTTTTCAATTAATTAAAAAAAGACAAGTTTTGTTACTTAATAAAAAATTGAATTAGAAAGTAATTTTGAAATTTTCTTTTGATATTTTGTCATTTGACGTTTATTATCGTTCAATCATTATTATAGTAATCTATCGTATAATCGATTTCTTTATTCGTCTTATCACTTTCTCTTAATAATTTGTTTCACTCGATTCCAGTAATTATCTGAAACGAATAAATAAGACATCGTATGTATGTTCTATATATATATATACATATACATATATATATATATATATATATTAAATTTACACACAACTGCACTTATGAACGCCAGTAAAATTAAACGTATAGAGTTTGTCTTTTGTGTTTTATCTTTTAAAACGAGAATAATCTTATCGTCTCGGTGAATATATTTTTCTTTTCTTTTCTTTTCTTTTCTTTTCTTTTTTTTTCTTTGATATTATTCTACACGTTTCATTATTATAAGTTTAATTTATAAAAACTCCAATTTTGTTTTTTTTTTAACATCATTTTCTTATAAATCGAAAATTAAATAGACATTTTTCAAATACGTTTCTCACGATCGAAGATATCGAATACGACAAAGTCTTTCACAAATCAGTGACTAACATTCTCAGAAAAGTAAAATTGTCTTTACGTAACAAAGTCATTGCTTTATCTGTTCAAAATAAAACAAAAGGAACGAATAATCATCGGCGTCGCGTTGGTTGGCTCGTATGAGTTGGAGGCATGTGCAAAACTATGCCGTATCTTTCGGTAAAAAGTAAGAGAGATAATGAAACAGAGAAATGGATTTTATTTTATAAGTGCTTTTAAAATATCATTACTGTCTGGAAGTTATGAGGAAAATAACAAGCTTATTGTGTAGATAGTTCAATATGAAGTCGAAGACGAAGTCAAAGACGTGCGATAATAAGTATCATCAATTATGTACATACATAATTAATGTAACATGAGAAATGGATAATAATAATAATTATTATTATTAATTAGCATTTTTTTTTCGTGTGGTTTGTTATCCCGGGCGCTCAGTCCTTGAACCATTGTGCCCGGGGCCCCTTGCGGGGAGCACCTATCATTGTGGTGGTCCCGTGGGCAGCCACGTCCTCCGTGCGAAGTGCAGCACAGTCCGGTCCCCCCAATGCCCATCACATCGAATGTTGGCGGTGGTCCCAATGGCATCATTTCTGACGCCCGCGAGCCCAAAGCCACGACGACGAGCACAGGGCATGTCCCCCCTCGTTCGATATCGGAGAACAGAGACTCGAACCCGCGAATTCCGGGCGGGAGTCGAGCGCTTTACCGACTGAGCCATGCCGTGCTCTATTAATTAGCATTAGAAACTCAAAAGTTCATTGCCGCAAATATTAAAGCCAGTGTTCCCGTCCCATTCGCGGTCTTCTTAGCCCATTTCCTTAAGATCTCGAAATAATATTGTCCTCTCATCTACGTCTCGGTCTACCCAAGTGGTTTTTTCCCGTTCGATATACCGATCAGTATTTTATGCACCCGTTCGATCCACCCCCATGCTCGCCACGTGACACCTGCCCATCTTAATCGGCGTGATTTTACGACGTTAATGATGTCCGGTTTTGTACAGTCGGTGTACTTACACTTATGGGGTTTTCCCATTCGTCCGTTTCCTCATCGCATTTTGCACCGAACATTTTACGAAACAACTTTATTTTCGAAAAGTCTCAATTTATTTTGGGCCCGTAACGTAAGTGACACCACGTTTGGCTACCATAAAGGATTACCGGTAGGATGATTGTTCTGTATATCCTGATTTTGAAGCACCTAGACAGCAACCACGAGCTGAGTAATTTATTGGCATTGCCTAAATTGATTGTTTTTTTAAGTTCTTCGTTTATTTCGTTTGTCTGGTTTATGATCGACCATAAATATATACCTAAAGTTGCTGACTCGTTCAAAAATTTTATC